TGCCTTCCTCACTCAAATGCAGAAGAGCGAGTTTTTAGCATGATTGGAAAGAACAAACGGGCAGAACGTTCAAGCCTTCAGGTTAAAGGAACACTTTCATCAATAATGACAGTGAAGCTTGCAGATTTGAATGCTAAGACTTTCACGCCTCCAGTGTCCGTCTTAAAAGCAGCTAAATCTGTTACTTATGAATACAACAAAGCACATAAGCGCAAGCTATAACTCATTAACATTTAAATTTAGAATGACTTTTACTTTTTAAACAATATTAACGAAATAAAAAATAAATGAAACTTATAATTGCAATTGCAGATGTCCAAAAAGTGTTACTTTTGAGATTTTTAATGCCATTTTTGTACCTTTAGAATTCTGTTAATCTTCTCCCAAAATGCAGGAAATGGCATTTCAGAGACTCCAGATGTAAAAATTTTCCAGGGGGGCATGCCCCCGAACCCCCCAAGGGAAACAACGCCTGCCTACGGCAGGCACCCGCCATAGGCGGGCTATATCAATAATATTACAGGAAAAAAACTAAATCTCACTCATTTTCATGCCACAAAGTTGGAAGGTCTGCTGATCCACTATAGTATGATTGTACTTGTTTTTCAAAATCTTTCCAAAGATGCAGCATGTTCAAGGTTGGGTTTACTACAAAATGTTTGTAGTTTGCTATAACTACAGCTACTTCAAAAATATGTAGTCAGCTGCAACTACTACTACTTTTGAACAAAGGTAGTTCACTACTGACTACAACTACTGCTCAAAAAATGTAGCAAACTATTTCACTATGCAATATTTTTTAATTTTACTGTATTTGGAGCATCTACTATGTACTCAGACTGTAATGTAACTGACCCATAAAAATCGACTTACAAGAAGCAACAGTAAACACAAAGCAACATTTGTGTAAGGAGTTGCAAATTGACTATTGATTTTAAGCAAACCATGTCTCAATATCATGCTATTCTATCAAGTTGCTAACAATTTTAAAAAGTGAATAGCAATTCACTCTTTGAAAAGTACTCAACTACTTGGCTACTTTTAGGCAAAATGTAGTTCGCTATAACTGCTACTGTTTTAAACAAGTAGTCAAAAACTACTGGCTACTTGAAAATTGTAGTTTGCTACAGTAGTGAACTACAACTACTTCACTACTACCATGTTTGTTAATTTAACCAACATCATTAAGCATACTGTTTTTTAAACAAATCCTTCAAAAATTTACAACATTTTACTAATATCCCCATTATATATGTTATATACATAATTGGGTAAATGACATCACATGGTTTCAGTTTTTCTAAAATAAGTTACTTCACAGTTTTAGGAGTTCTTTTGTTTGAGACAATAAAAATTTTAATGACAGTGTTTTTAAAAACCATGTAATTCAGTTTTACTGCCAAGCGGTTTATTAAACCGGTTAAAGCGGTTTATTAATTATTATTGTTATATTTAGATCTGAGAAGACAACGAAACAATCGGAAAAAAAAAATTTGTTTAAGCGCCCATGAGAAATGTGTGAAGTTTTCAGTAGTTATTCAATAAAATGTAAATGATCTTGCGATACCCTTTTGTTAAGAAACTATTGCTCTTGCAACAGAGTTCAGCTTCTGCTGAAAAAAGTCTTCAGTCCATTGAACAATGCATTCATCGCCCAGCAAGATTCCCCACTTACAAGACTATCTTGAATTCTCAGTGATGCTGATACTTGTTGACACTAAAAGAAATTGATCAGCACAAATGCATGTACCTTGAAATCAGGATGTACGAAAAGTTTCTGAAGACTGTTCACTGTTCAGCCCATGTTGAACTTAGTTTTAAAGGGGAAGTCAAGTCCGTTCTGCGCATCGGTTCTGCTCATAACAATGTGAGGACCTCTAATGTGAACATTGCCCAAATTTCGAATGTTTCGAATTTTTCTGAACATAAACTCTATTTCATATTCATTTAGAAGCATAGCGAACTAAAATGGTGTTAGATATTCAGACAGTACATCATATTTTAAAAAATACAGCAGTTCAAAATGTAAACAAACCGTTTGTTTACATTACGGACTTGACTTCCCCTTTAATAGAATAGAAACTTTATTTCACAAGGGAAAACGTATTAACCTTAAAAGTTATCTAACATACGGCCCTCGCACTATTTTGGATATTTACAGGCATAAAAAGTATTAAGAATTACGACTATTTACATTTGAGAAAAAATAAGTAGTAATGAATACAATTACAATTTAGTAAATATTTACAATTTATACAAAATAGATCTTCGATATGGTTAGTAAGGGTAAGCTTGTTAAGAAAGATTTTACAAATTTTTTGTTTGGCATTAGTATATGGCGAACCAGCAAGTTGCTTACAATCGCTATCTAAGCAATTAAAAAGAATGGAAGCACGGTACAGAAATGTTCGTTTACCAGAGTAAGGAAGGGGGGGTTGAAGGTCATATGCGCAAGCTCTAGTCAGAGCCCGTTGTCGAATAGAAGATAAGAATTTGAACATTTGCTTAAATGAAGATGGAGCACTGGGATTTGTGAGAATGTTAATTAGTAAGAGAAGCTTCCTAAATTTAACAAGATCAAAAATTGGGATTATTCAAATCTGGGAAAAAAGAAGAACAGAAGGTGTAGAAAAGTCAGCGTCTAGAATAATACGTGCTGCACGCTTTTGCAGTCGAAGAATGCGAAGTAAAAGTGTTTTTGAGCAGTTTCCCCAAGTCACAGAGTATGATGCATTAACAGTATCTACTTGTTTCCAAACCTTGCCTTGAAATTGTTTTGTTATTTACCTAGGATAAGTTGTACTAGCTCTTGCTCAGTTTTTAGTATGCTTTTTATAAACATGTATGAAAAATACCAATAACCCTTTTGAAATTTAAGAGCAACTTTTCCAGTTTTCTGGAAACTTTTGAGCAGTTTTTGTAGCAACTTTACTAGCACAATCTGTAAAAGCCTAAATGCACATGTTCAGAAAGTTTTCCTTTCGGGATTTTTATGACATTTTGAACATTTAGAATTCTGAGTAAAATAACAGCATTTCACTCATTTTCAAGTGGTTTATACAGAAACAACAGCAATGCATGAACCTGAGGACGATTCTGGGGCTGATATCTACCATACCAGTTAACTGATGTAAAGATAATTTCAACAAGTATATCGCTGATATACAGGGTGTATAAAAAAAAGTGCAATCCTCGACTGAAATGTAAATTGCTAAACAAATAATAGACGAAAACGTTAAAGTTTACATTCATTTTAAAGCGTAGCCATTCAGCTTTCTAACAGTGGGTTGTTTCTTACATTTGACTCATTGGTTCG